GTGACCTAGGTATAGAAATCTGATAGATACAGATTTCTGATAGAGCACAGGAAGTCCCTCTAGCGCAGTGGTTCTCAACCCAGTCCTTATGTTCCCCCTAACAGTACAGGATTGAAGGATTACTCAATTGTGCCTAAGGTGTTTTGGGTGAAAAAACAAAAAACACTTTAGACACAACAGGGTAATCCCTAAATCCGGGACTGGTAAGGGGGAACTTGAGGACCGGGTCTGGAACCCCTGCTCTAGTGGCTGTCTGGTAGGAGTTAAAGGAGCACTATAGTGCCAGCAAAACAAACTCGTTTTCCTGCCACTATAGGCTCATTAGGTCCACCCACCCTCAGGGTCCCTGTCCCGTTGGGATGAATGGGTTAAAACCCCTTCAGCCACTTACCTTTCTCCAGCGCCAGACTCCCTCTGGGCTGGAGAACTCTCCAAACCCTGCCGATGTCAGTTCCGAATGTGCATGCGCACATTTAGTTTGAATCATAAGAAAGAAAGTGAAAAAGATAGAAAAAGGAAAAAAAAGTGAGATAGTAAATAAAAATGTAACCACAAATGATAAAGAGAAGTGAGTGGGCAATTGGCAACCCACTCACTTGTTTCATCCCCAGGGCAAAGCATCCAAACTCCTTTAGTCCTTGACGTGGGGAGCGGACCTCCAGAGCTCAAACACAATACCCTAGCATTTACTGACTGCGCTGGCGGAGGTAGCAGGCGTTGCCACACCGCTGTCAGACACAGCCAGAGGGGAGAAACCAGTACCACTTTAAGAGAGATTTTAAGGTATTTGGGGGGAGGAGAATAGAAGAATAAAGAGGAATGAGAAAAAAAAAGATGTTTTGCTATCACCAACAGCAAAATAGAAAGAAATAAAATGGTAAAGAGGAGTGAGTGGGCAATTGGCGACCCACTCACTTGTTTCATCCCCAGGGCAAAGCATCCAAACTCCTTCAGTCCTTGACGTGGGGAGCGGACCTCCAGAGCTCAAACACAATACCCTAGCGTTAACTGACTGCGCTGGCGGAGGTAGCAGGCATTGCCACACCGCTGTCAGACACAGCCAGAGGGGGAGAAACCAGTACCACTTTAAAAGAGATTTTAAGGATTTGGGATTGGGGAGAGAATGGAAGAATAAGGAGGAATGAGAAAAAAAAGATGTTTTGCCACCACCAACAGCAAAATAGAAAGAAATAAAATGGTAAAGAGGAGTGA